TTAAATTACTGTAAGACTTTTAGTCTTGTGGAAATGTGATTTACTTAATATATTGGCTTAATTTGTTTGTTTTTCTAGACATTGATCTTTTGGTACAGCTGGGAGATAAGTTTGTTTTAGATATTGACTTAACAGGATATTTTTATAGTTATATTTACAGAAACAAACAATGCTATTTCCACAAGAGTGACAAGCTCTACTCACCCTTGTGTAAATGAATTTTCTCATTGTTCCTGGGCTGGCATTTTCTAACGGAGTTCAGCCTGCTGCTGCAATGCCAAGTTTGACTCCAAGCAAAGCAATCTTTCTGTTATCTGACGTTACACGCTTTAATAAAAATCTAATAATGCAAAAATTTTAAAGGCAAATAGAATGATTTAAATACTGTGCAGCTTTGTACTTTTGTATATAAATAGATTTATTTAATGAATGTGGGAGAGAAACCGTACTGAACGATGACTGCTGCCAACTAAGTGGGGCAGTGGAGATGACTCACTTTTCCCCTAGACTTTCTATTATTCAAGTCCTTTACACTCTCATGGCTGTTAGACTTCAAGCACGTGTGATGAGCTCATGTTAAAAGAGATGCAAATAAGTTAATGTCCTTCCAAACATTTTATACAATGATTACTCATTACGTACCTGCTGTGATGGGAAATTAGGTGCCATAATTCTTATCTTTCTTGTTCACAGAACTGCCTTTATTAGATAATTATTTTAGCTTTTTGATCTCCAAGCTCCTCTGTACAAAATTTGTGTGGATTGTGCCCCAGGAGGTTTTGTACCAAATGCGGTAACATCTGGGTGTGCGTCTGGGAGCTTCCCTGCCATCCGTCCCATCCATGTCAGGGATGTGTTGGGCTGTGATGGGATAGGCCAGTCTGAAGAAAAGCCCCCTAATAACATGAGCATGGGACAGAAGGGTTGTCTGAAGAGTCAGTAATGCCTTATTGCTGAGCAGCTGTGATTGCTTCTCAGGGGTGTACCCCTTTTCCCTCTGTTTGAGATTGTGGGAAAATAAAAGGGCTTCTTTCACAGGTAGACGCTGTGTTCTACAGTAGGATGCCAAGAGCCAAACGTAGAACAATAACCATTTTGAAATGGTTTTCTGCAATAATTCTTAAGTTAGGAGTACTTTTCAAGCCTTACATGTGTCCATGGCGTTTGAAGTGGTAGGTTGTAGTTGTTTGGGGTTTTTGTTTAAACTTACTTTTCTCATCTGAATCCACTTTGTTGTAAAGAAGAGCTTATGGTAAATCTTTGCTCAGTTGGTCTTTTTCTCTGCAAACAAAAGAGAGTGAGAAGTTGAGAGGGCTGCATCTCATAGGTGTAGTCTAGAAGACCTATTTTAAGGACGGGCAGGTTTCAGTAGGATTTTGTGTTGCTACCGTGTACTGGAAAACAGTTTTGGGTTTTTTTTCTCTGAAATGCACAAAGACATTTTTTCAAATCTGCAGATCCTGTGAAGTTGGAGTCTTGTTGCAAACAGCCTGCTTTTTTCATGGGAGCTGGGATTGGAAATGAAGGTGCACATTTCACTGTTAAATCGTAATGTTTCTGTTCTTCCAGGAACCAAAGCAAAGATGAAGCTACTTTCTAGAATAATTGATCTAGAAAATCAAATTAATTTTTTTTTTCCAGGTAAAATTGCAGAGGACTTTATCTTTCTATTAGAAAACGTCCTCTCGCTCCTGCTAATGTGAGCCTTGCAGGAAAAGCCAAACAACAAACCAGATGACTTCATAAATAATCTTCATCTTGTGAGAGAGAAGAATTGTATGTCATAGCATATGTCCCAAAACAAACATTAGCCTTATTCTGAATTAGCACTTGGTCTTTACTGACTTAATTCTTTACAATATATGGTGGAAGGGGCAAATGGAACATATGATCAATAAGCGTGGCTTATTAAGGTGAATAGATAATAAATATAACAGTAAATAAGCCTCAAACCCAAGCTTGCATGTTTGAATAGTGATCTATTTCTAGAGCTGCTCTGGGAAAGGAGTTTGGGTTCTTAAATATTTTAAAATAAGTTATTCCTGATGCTTTTGGAACATTTGATTGCAGGAGTTTTATTTATTTGTTAGTTAATTTGTTTGTTTATTTTTTTCTCCCCAAACTGCAGCAAATACCTTATTTAGGTAACTGTGTAGTAAATAGATGCATCATTCAAGAGAACAGCAGGTTTTTGAGCATCTTCTGTAGCTTTAACAGGGACACAAATATTTCCTTGCTCCCTTTTCTTTGCTGGACATTCGCTTGGATGCATATTTCCAGGCATTATAGCCCATAATCTTTAAGGGTGAGGCTAGAAACCCTGTAAGCTGTCAATAAGCCACTTAAAAGCCCTGGTCACTTCAGAAAAGTGTTTCTGGCAGCAGACTGTGTTCTGGCACTTGTCTGAAACCGAATTGAATCAAGTGAGGAGGATCTGGAGCTCTGTGCTCCAGGCAAGTGTTTGATATAAGGTATTTGCCTTTTCTGCCCGCAGGCTTTGGGTTTTCCATTTTGATTTTTTCCAAAATCTCCCAAACTGCTGAGTTTACAAAATCAAGAACTACAATGAGGCAGGTTGATAGGTACACTAATGAAAACCTTAATGTCATTAACAAGCATGCATGCTCACACAACCCTCTACCCTGTGTGGACTAGATATTGCTCACCTCAAGCAGTGGCCTTACTAGTTATTCCCTTGTCCAGTGTCTGACAACTCCCCATGTTTATTGAAGAAAAATGACAGTTTTGTGACCTTAAATTCATGTTTGTGAGGGCATTGGTTGTTTCTGTAGTGCCTGTCTCTATGTGGAGGAGAGCTGCCCTCATCTTACAGATGGGGAATTAGGAAATGGAATAGTTCTTATATTTTTGGGTAGTCGATTAGAGATGATGACTTCGTGTATGCAAATGACATTGTCCTTATACGTGCGGGCTCATGGCAAGACTCAGTGCCTCTGGCTCAGGCAGTGAGAGTTAGCTCTCCTTGAAAACTGGGCCTCCCCGCTGCATAGCTACAGGGTAGATACCCAGCAAGAGCTTTGTTTAGGTGGAGACTGCTGGTGCAGAGCCTGGTTGGACTTGCCTGTCTGCATTAGGACCTCGGCACCGAGCAGGAGTGCAACCAGTTCTCCAAGGCAAGTTTACGCTGCTTTTTTTCCCTGCAGTCTCTTGTAGCTTTTAATGCTCGCTGCAAAGCTGCAGGAAGCAGAGGTTCAGAGGTGAGGAGCTTTCTTTGCCACGTGGCTTTCAATCTGCCTCTGCAGTGAGTTTTCCTGGGTCAGACAGCAGCATAGATGGTGGGA